CAGGAAAAGTAACAACTTTACCAGAACTTTGCATCATTGGCAACAGTCACTGAAGCCATCTCATTTTCACTATACCAAGCCTCCATAACTACTTATGCAGAACAGCAAAAAACACAAGAACAATATTTCTTAAGCCCTTATGATAAAAACAGTCATACTAAAAGGTTCTCTGCCCCTCAAAACTACAGCCATACCTGTTCTTATACATTCGTGGCATTCCTTGCCAACCTTACCCAATGCATTTACAGATGAGGAGCCAGATTACAATGTGCTGAATGGCTATAAGTCATTCTTCTTAGTGATCAAAGGTAACATGAGGAAGCTTGGGCACTAAGAAACAATTGCTTCCTAAAGCAAATTTTAGAGCTCTTGCTGTTGGAGCCATCAGAACTATGTTTTCTCAAGAAAGCTGGGATTTTTGGTCAAAAAGGTTTTTGAGTGAGGTTTTATTTTTTTTGGATGATGGTGATTTTACACTATCAGCGATTCATCTGGTTAATATGATGTATGATGCTACAATTCGGATTTTTTTTTTCCCCTAAATAGCTTCTCTGATAGATTAAGTGCTTAGAAAGTAACGATAATGTGATCCTCATGTCTTATGTAATCTCTGTATGACAAAAATAAATGCTTAAGATATGGACACCCCCCCCCCCAATGAATTACAGATCCCCCCCCCCCAATGAATTACAGATCTTTGATTTTTCAGCCCCTCGCCTTAAAACAAATGCAATTCCATTTTAAGTGTCTCTTCTTTAGGGAAATAATTAAATACACAGAACAGCTCTAAAAATTGGCATCATAAATGCGAGAGTAGTGCAAGCATTTTTACTGATTAATCTCAGTGGATTTTGCCACAAGGAAAGATAACAAAATCATGCATTTTATAGAACTAAAACTATGTCACAGAAAGGTAAGCTGATGTGACCAGTATTACCTACCAAGGCAGCAAAAGAGCAGAGCTCAGACCCATGTTCTCCTAATATACTGCTCAGAACTAACCAGCTGCACTACTAACACTGCTTGCTGCTGACATTTCATTTCAAAAAATTCTGATAAAAAGAAACACTATGTTTCACTTAATTGCAAAAGTTATCAGGAGTATTGGTGCTACATTTTAAAAACACAGTACTCTATGTAATTGGTAAGATTTCTCTTCATTAGAGTACAGATGGTGCTTTTTAAAAGTTTACTACATTTTTTCAGGTAAGTTGTTTGCATCATTTCTGTTTGTTCTCTTCAACCTATTCCTATTTGAATACTAAAACCCAATTTGAATGTGCTTAAACAGGCAGACTGCACTTCCTATTTCTGGAGAAATAGAAAAAAGGAATGAAAAATGAAATATGAGGAAAAGGTCATTATTCAGTTAACGGGAAAATACTAGTTTTTGCTAACATCTTATATCCAATGAGAAAATAGCAATTTGGGGAAAAAAACCCCAAGCAAACATGTTTTAAGGCAGCACATGGAAACTGTCAATTAACCTTCAAGCAAAACTATTTTACTTTCCTAATGTAAATAAACAGATGAAGCCCCCTTATACTCTTAATGATTTAACAGTGTTTCAAAACCAGAAAGTCACAACGAATTTCAGAAGAGTACGTGCAAATGCATACAACTGCACTGGAAAGTTAAAAAAATATCCTGCAAATGACCATGGATTGTGCATTAAAGTTGACTAGTACTGCAAATACAGAAAAAGCATTACAGATGTTAAATGATAAGCTATAAATTAAATTATGCTTATCTGTCTAGTACATGTAAATCAACACCATTCTAAAGAAAATACAGACAAAAAGTTATATAGGATACACTGGGAAGAAGTACGCTTAGGGTGCCTAGAATATTATAAAACCCAAAAATGTTAAGACAGTAATTTCATCAATAATTGAAGTAATTAGAAAACAGTTATTATTCACATATATTTTATCTACCACAACCAACTGACACGCAGAATTGTGTGCTACACACAGGAGCATTCAACACAGTGCTACTTTGGAAAAAAGCTACCTAACATGACATCAGAATTAAGTATTTCTAGTCAAGTTGGTAATCTAAAAACTCAAAAGTGAGGTGCAACTTTAATCATGAGCATACCTAATGGCCTGTCCTGCCAACATGTTGCAGGCTTTGCTTTGCCAATACAAACTGATAGGAAACTGTATTTTATAACCTAATATGAAGATTTGCTCGGTGGTCTTCAGCTTTTAAGAAAACCATTCATGAGACTCTCCTCACCCATCAGAACTAAGGAATCTAGGCTGGAAAGATGGAAATAAATTTAAAAAAAAAAAAAAAATTAAAAGTTACAAACCTCCCTCAGCACCTTTTACCCAAGTGGCAAAATCTATATGAAAAGCCAGGATCACCTAAAATGGAAAGCTTGAGAAGTATTTTGTTATTACCTGTCCCATGCACTGAATGAGAACAAACTGTTACAGAATATGTAAATAAAAACCAGTCATACATATATTATGGTGATAATCAAATATTCACATAAACAGCAATCTAAAAGGTCACATTTTTAATGTAATTTGTAAATGTGAGGAAGCAAACACATTTTAAAGAAAGAGGAAAACTAGCCACCCCTGCTAAATTAGGCTAGAAGCCATATTGCTCTTCCACAAAGTCTAACGATTTTACCACTGTATCTGAGACTCCTCAAATTTGGCTGAAACAGGCATTCTCAATTCTACTTCTAGCTTTAAATGTTTCTGTGTTTAATAATAATAATTCATTTCAACACTAGTTTATTGACAGTTTCTCTCCATTTCATCTAGAAACTGTGTTACAGCCATTAAGGCACCATTCAGTTGTGTCTCAGTTAGATATCTTCTAGACAATAGCTTCAGTTTTATTTACTGTAAAAATCTGAATGTTTTTGAATGCACTTCTCCAGGACAGAACATAAAATATCTTGTTATCTGAATTTTCTGAAGAAAAAAATATGAATGAACAGAATCACAGTAGAGAAGATGACTGTCATAAAGAAAACATTTAAGGAAATGCTTACATATACGTACACACAGACAGTACAGGAATAAATGACAGCTTACAGAAAGTTTATGAAATATATGCTTCCATTTCCGGGAACCATCAATTCAGTAAGTATAATAAAAGCCATGTGCTCAAGAGTTGAGAATCAATAGAAATTACTGTATGATTACAAATACAATCATAGGTTACTCCATCACTACCTGGACATAAAAGACAAGCTTAAGAAATCTGAGTATTAAAGAAAACAGCAAAAACCCCATCTTCTCCTGGGAATTATTTGCGACATACTATAGCTGGTGGTTTAACTCCACATTTGTACTTGATGCCTTTTTAATCATCCAACACACTAGAATGTGTTCTGAAACCTGACTGTGCAGGAGCTTACATTTCTTTGTTGCTTCTCCAGATTACTATTCCCTAGTAAAAACAAAAAGAAATCCCATGTCTACTCAGAATCCATTTTTATACCCCTACTAGGAAATTAATAGCACTCAATTCTCTTGCTGTTAATTGCCAAAATCATTATTCACATAAAAACTGGTGTACTCTCTCACTTTACAAAGACAGCAGGTCCCTTTCCTAAGGTAACAGGGAAGCGATTGAACAAGATCAAATTATGGGAGGTAATTGGTAAGATGCTATCAACTGAACTGCCAGAGCTGCTCATGCCTAGGCACTAAACTCACATCAATTGCTAGTATTAACTTTAAAACATTTTCACTGAGATCAGGTCAGCACTTTCTGGCCCCCAACTCAGGCATACTGAAAAATGCATGAACAGAGAATAAGGCAACTCCAATGCTGGACAGTAACCAGGACCATTGTAATAAACATTTGATTGCGTTTAGAACTGGAGACTTATTTTTACAACCCCCTCAATATTTTTGTTAGATTACAGCATCAAAAGCTTCATACACCTATTTTTGCAGAAGAACGAAGTATTTTTTTGTAATACATCATCCCTGAATCTTTCAGATAGTTTGCTTGATATCAAAGCTGGATAAATCTCAGTGAGTTACTTGGTCACATATGGTGAAACATACCACGAATAAAAGCATCATCATAATAAAAATACATAAACATCATCTAATCATTTAGATTCTACTCATGATAGCTTTCCTGCTTTCCATATTCTCTACCTCCAAAGCGAGCATAACGTTAGTGATGAATTAAACATGCTAAGCATCATACAAATGTCAACCCAATTTGGCAAGGAAAAAAACCCTAACATACTACAGAGGTATGAAAAGGGTTACTAAAAATGTTGGTGTAATTAATAAGTTTCTTTCAGACCTTGACAATTTAATGTATTGCCTACCATAGTACTGGATGAAGACTGTCCTGTTTCTTTTACAACAAACAATCTAAAATATCTGCCAATGATACTGCAATTACTTTTTCTGATATCCAAAGTGACAATGTGTTGCAGTCTAGTTACTTACAAAAAAATTCAGCATCCTAGACAAAAACTGTCCTAAAACACAGGGATTCCCAGCTATGACTGTTTTGATTTTAAGTGGTTTGATCTCGAATTATAATTTCACCATTGTTTATTAAAACAAAATAAGGAACATTTAAATGGAGGGAATCCCAAAAGTTGGTTTTATTTATGAAACACAAATACTCATTCTATATTATCACACACTTCACAGAACTGTGCTGCCTCTGGTATCAGGCATGGAAGAAAAAGCTGGCCTGTAAACAGCCATGTCACACACGTATCACAGCTTCCATATTCTAACAATCCTGGGGGCCTCACTCTCCCAGGATTCTCCTACATTTCTTAGCAGTCTCCCCTGCAATGGCTCTTACTCTTCCAGCTCCAAAAATCACTTCCTGTGCTATATCGTTTATCTCCTCTGATGGCTAATACAAGCAGGCTGATTACCTCCAGAAATACAAGAAACTCAGATCTACCTACATCTTCCTCAGCAGAGATAAGGGGTATTTATTTGGGTGTGTCTTTTCTATCTGGACAATATTTCTTTATTCCAAAACTTGTGCCAATGACATGCGTCTTCCAAATCTCTAGTCTTCTGTCAAATTTAGCTGAAAGTGGGGAATGAGTTAAAGGCAGCAGTGACTTAGAGGCAGAAATTGGGTAAGTCTTCTTTCCTTGGAAAACCATCGCATATCTATCAATCACACTCTACATCAAGGCTAGTTCTACACTCTGCATACCTGAACAGTAAAAACAAACCCTGCAGCCATTCCCAAACAAACTGCTTCAATAAATTTGAATGAAAAAAAAAAACAAACCCAAAACAGGCCAGGTGGTATATTTTCTAGAAGAGTGCTAGAACTGTCATGGCTAAATTAATATTTTGCTCTTGTGAATTCTGCTATTGCATTTCTGATTCATTAACATACCTTGCTTCTTCACCTTGTCTTTCATATGTGTTAACTACATCAGTGTCCTCCTTTGACCCCTTAGACTTAATCTCTTTTTTTTTCTGGATCATGTTCTTTGCACTCTAACGATCAGCCTCCTCTTGGGGCAGGTCTTGAGAAGTTAACTGTAGCTCTGCCCCAGTGGAGCTGAAAACAGTGCAAGCCTCCTAGCACAGATATAATTTAGACATGACATATAGGTGCTTTATTCCATTATAGCTATTTCCATATCAGAAAGTCACAAATTATATAGATGTAAAATCCAGAGCTTGTAACTTGTGAAATTTCTTCTTAAACATAAAAACCCACACAAACAAGCAACATCCTCTGTCAACACAATTCTATCAGTCCAGTAACTGCTTGCACATTAAACTATAATGTTAAAAGCTAGCCTTCCCTCTGACTAAGTATTTCAGAAGAGGCACCAAAAAGTCCAGTACGCTTACTGGATCTTTGATGATATGGGGCAGTAATCTAGGAACTAGAAATAGCTGGAGATCAGAAGGCACCTGGTATCTCACAGCACAGTTTTAAAAAATTCTAGGGCAACTCCAGTGACAGCTGTAGCACCACAATAAGGAGAGCCTATTTTTGAAGAAAAGCAGTGTATAGTCTCATGAAGGACACGCAAAGTGGATGAAAGAAGAGCTCTCCATTTTTTGAACGTACCATTGCAGACAACCTATAACACTGTATTTTTCTGTGAAAATAACTGCCTGTTTCAAAAATATCAACTGGACATAGGCAACTCTAAATGCCATGATCTGTTGGACAAGCAGAAAGATGTTTTGGGTTTTTTGTTTGGTTTTGTTTGTTTGTTTTTTAAATCATAATAGTGAATTTTACCCTTGCCATGAAGAAAGTAATTTGCAGTGTTGATTGCATTCAGCCATAATGAATTAAATCTTAGAATCAGATGTATGATGCAATAAGCAAATTTTAGCAACTCATTAATATTTCCCTGAATTAATTTGCATCAATACTTAATGACAATCCTTTATTCTTATTTTTGTTGTAAGTGAACTTTAAAAAAACAAACAAACAAACTGTATTTACACAACCAGCTGACCTGCCCAGCTGCTACAGCCATTCATCTAAAACAGATGCCACCCTCTGGTCCCGTTCTCCTTTACAAAAACTGTGGTCATTTCCTGAAATCTCTTCTGAGCTCTATGAGCACGTTGCCCTTGCTCATCTTCTCCAAGCCTTCTGCCACTGTAAGGGTTCGTTGATTGGTTGCACATGTGTGCATATATGTAACATGAAAGAAAACCACTACAGACATTAGAAATGGTACTGTAAGACTTTCTTCTCAATCTGCCCATTTGGCCCACAGATCACAACCGTGCAAATACTCTGAAAATAAGTTTTTGCTTTTTTTCTGCTATTCAAGAGGCATTAATTGTTTTTTTTTTTTTCTTTTTACACACTGGTCTGCAAAACTAGCTTGTCTTAAGTCAGTAGATATTCCCTCTTGCTTAATTACTAATTTGGTACTAGTATACTTTCATATCTGAAAACAGTTTTTAGACAGTATTTTCTAATCAGCTACTTACTTCAGATCTTGCAGAAGGTCCTTTGCATTAAGCATCGTTATTAAAGAGGTTGTGGCTGCTGGAATAATGATTATGGGAGTTCGAGATCCTGTAGAGATAATAAAGTTACATTTGCCCAGGATTTTTTTTTTTTTGTTGTGGTTTCGGTTGCCCCCCCGCCTGCCCTTTTTTTTTTTCATTAAAGGAACTGTAAATAAAAACAAAACTCTTGCTTAACAGATCAAAATAATGGAAAAATATTCAATGAAAATTGCAGTAAATCTTTCCTACACTGAAGGTTTTCATTCACCAAAAAAGTGTACCCCTGTATCAGGAGTCTCTAAATACATGTAGGACCCATACTTAGCAAAACAGAATGCTGACTGCATTTCACTGCGTGTTTATATCGTTGCTTGTGGTTCCAGCAAAAGATAGAGTAGGCACAATTCACAGAAAAATTAAAAGGATCGTGTAAGTAAAATTGACTCACCTTTTTTCTGGTTTGGAGGTGGTCTTGCTTGAGAAACTGAGAAAAAACAGAAAATATAGCAGAATAACTAATACATAAATACAAATGTCATTGCAAGGCAACATTTCAATGTTTTTCATCACAGGAGTGAACAGCAAAGAGTCATAATATAGTCATTAGATCATTTTCACAGATGCAATATACAAAGTTGAAGAAGGGATTTATACTTTGGGTTTCAGTATTCAGAAGACAAACAGGTTTTGACCATCTGAAACGGATGTTTGGACAATGTCTCCTAATTTTACTGAAACTAGTCATCCCTCTCCATCCTCTTCAAAAGGTTGGGGCATTATAGCATTGACAAAAATTGCCAGCAATCTTGAAAAAAGCTGCTTAAGTTCAATAATGGTGAACCAACAGGAAGACTGTTTCACAACAAACTAATCTTTACAGACCCTCACCTTTTCATTAATAGTTATTATTGTATATGCTATCTGCAGGATTTAGCTATTCTTAACACATATAGAACAATCAAAATCAGAATTTCAGGCTTACTCAAGTTAATTTTTGGATTGCAGTTTGAGTTACATGAGCTCTTTGGGTGCCAAAAACAATGAAACTTGACAGATATGGTAGCACTCATGCAAAACAACAACAAAAAACCCCAAAACAAACCCACCAAACAAAAACAACAAAAAAGCACCCAAACCACCAAACAAAAGCACACAAACAATACTGGCCAGACAGAAACCAAAGAATTCCCTTCCCTCCCTGCCTGCCTGCACCCCCGCCCCCCTCCCCAGTAAAATGTTTCCACTTCAGTTTTCCAAGTTGTGACCTCCTCAATACAGGAGATACTGCAGTCCAAAGTTGGAAAACCATGTATGTTTCTTCACTTTGGTGCTATTACTGAATAACCTGTCTTCCTCCAAATAAACATTTTATAGTTCAGTTTTCAGGAGTTCTACCTTAAGGAAAGAACTGTTGTGCTTGATGATTATCATCGTATGTGTTTATCCTCATTCACAAAATCAGAAAATGGTGAGTAGTAGAAAGATTGAGGCAGACTAACTCGTCTCAACTGCTACCATGCATGACAAATGTCATTAATTGACTTCCAATTTCATAGCACCAACTTGCTCATGCTTATTTACAACCACTTCAGAAACTGCCTAGAACAGTATAAATATTCACAACACATAGTTGCCATTGTTGAGAGCATATCCTTAATTATCTTTTCCTGACACTGTCAAATGCACAGATATAATTGGCCACACTATATTGAACTACATGAACTCTACCTACCCAACGATTTTTTTTAATTATTATTATTTTTAAATCTAGGTATCACCTTAATGTAAAAAAAGTTCCTGAAATATATGGTCAGTATTAGCTGCCCCCCCCCAAAAAAACCCAACCCCAAAAAACCAAAAACAGAGGGGGCTGGGGAAAAGCATCTATAAGAAATTCGATAGCTGTACCAAGACAGGTTAGTAGAAAACTAGGTACTGCAGAAAGGTGCAAAAAAAAAAAAAAAAAAAAAAAAAATCTTAAATTAAAAGCACATCTCAAATATTTTTTCAAATCAGTATTGTACAACTGTTTTGTCCAATTCAACTAATGCTTCTAACGTGCAAAGCAGCATCCTCATGGGAATTGCACATTTTAAATACTTTGACTGCTAAGAACAGAACAACCGATTTTTTAAAAGTTCCAGACCCCAAAATATCCTAGAACAGGCAGAAAGATAATTTTTTTTTTTAATGAATTAAGCGATATATACTTTCATCTGACTACACCCCTCTTTATTGTCTCTTCAACTTACAATATAGATGCAAGATAATGGATTAGACTGGCCTTAGAGAAGGGCAATATCAGTATAACCTGTATAACGTACAAAAAATACACTTCTGCCAGCTAATGCCCATGAAGTCACAGCTAGCAGCAGGGACCTGTGACAACTCAGTCCAATTTCTGCTCTTGCCACTTCTACCCTTTTCATACTGCTGTCTGTCAACTCCATTTGCATTATTATGCTTAACAGGACTAGTGAGATAAGTATGACAGGCAGCATGACCTTTCTAGTACCAAAATAACCAAACAGAAGAATCTGTGCACAACAGCACTCATGTATGCTGAGAATATTGAATAATAGAATAGATTTTTGGGGAAGAATAATTTTTACAATATTAAGTCTTAGCATTAATTCTTACTAATAAATCTCAACGAATTAGCAAGGCATGCATCAAAAGCATTTAGTAGTCTCAACAAGAATACACAGTACTCCAGCAGTACTTCTAGAAAAAGTATATTCATTTTAAAAGGTAGCTTTGTTTCCGAAAACCTCCAAATGTTCCCTTTCCAATACCTTCATAACAACAGTAACCATCATCTTGTTCTTAAATAACACCTTTCACTCGAGACTTTCTTCCACCAAACCAGAAATTCTCATAGTATGTAAACTAGGTGCAGAAATGCACATAGCTGTCGGGAAACACCAATCCTCTCATATACTGTCTGTACCCCTTACACTCTTTTAAAAACTCTCGCTAAGGGTTTCTCATTAAAACAAAACAAAGTACTTATATCATTCTATTTTTGAATCTCAGTTTGAGATTCAATCTGACATACAAAATGGACTTGGTAGCTAAAGTCTACTAACTAAAAAGCTAGTTGAGGATTCTGGCCCCATTGCAAATACCGTATGTGCTAAGAAGTGTGAAGAAGTAATGATAACACATTCAGAGAAAGACTTAGTTCTGATATATTAATAATAGAAGTAATAATATATCTCTTTTTGAGATTAGCTTTTCTATTTAGGTTGTTTCTCCCTGGAGTATTAACCAGCTCTTATTATATATTTGAGCTGGCATTTGTGAACTACCAAGCTGACAACCAAGAAGTTTGTCACTGTTTAATTTCACTAGCGCATCCTTTCAATAGGTTAATTGGGCAACACACTGAAGAGAATGAACCTAAGCCCCATGGTATCACATTAACAGAAAAGTCGTGTGTTATTTCCAATACACATGCAGTTAAATGCCACAAATAAATGATCCCCACTTCATTCTTCAGCTAACTAAAGTTTTAAATAGTAGTTCTTTGCAACTCATACTTACCTGGAACAGAAGCACAAATGATAGTAGGCTACCTTACCTGGTCGTGGTACAGGCTGTGCTGCTGGAGTTTGTGTTTTTCGAGCAGAAGCACCTTCCTTTTAAAAGACAGAAGAGGTAACATTAACAGCTGGCCTTCTTGTCAGGTACATGGCTTTTCTAAATTAACACAGAGCTACAGAGGGTATCATGAAAATGAGGGCAGTAAGGTTCCATTAAAGAGAAGAAAGAAAACAGTGACAATATTCAAAACTCTTTACAGATTCTGTTTTAGACTTGGAGAGGACAGACAACCTCATAAGCTTTTACAGATCTACATTTTAACCATCAAATGCCAATCAGAAACGTTTTTTCTGTATTCAAAGAAACCTTTTCTATTTATAGTATTGTTTCATTTTAACTACGAACACTTTCACCAAGGGTTAATAACGTAAATGTAAGCAATTGGCTATAGAAATTTCAAAACAAGGTCTGCTTATACTCCGGATGGAAAACTAGGACCAAGAAATTGCAACACATTCCTGCCTTGAAGAGTTTTAGTGCCCAGAAATAGCACTCTCATGATAATTAGTTCTGCTCATGCCTTATCCAATTACCTTAATGTAACAAACAAAAGACCTGCACTACTATTTATTCCTGTTAACTCTGCAGAGTCAACACACCACGTAAGAGAACAGTGAGGTCACACATGTCTGGTTCCAAAGCAACATTCAATTCCTGCAAGAACAAATTCCGTTCTCAGTTACTTCTGTGAAAACTCACTGAACAAAACATACATTACTAACAATATTACTAACGCTGTAAAAAAATGCTATATATTCCAGCTGCTTCAATTTGCAAGGCTGACAGAAAGCCTTTTAACATGAAACCATTAATTTCATCTGAAAATTACTTAAATGCTATGTGAAGCATATCCTTCAACTGTGAGACACTCAGAAAGGTCAGAGATACCACCCTGGGAAAACCTGTTGGAAAGGACTCCAGTATGGCATTATCACATTTGTATGTCCACACATAAATAACAGTATGTTCTGTAATTCAAAATAAAAAAAGCTAATGAGCAGGGGACTACACATGATTTAAATAACACTTAAAGAAACTGCTTTTAAGTTTCCACCATGAAAGTTAAAACTCCGTTTTTATCTCAAGAACTGTGAAGTACAAATAGAAGAGAAGATCACTTGAAAAGCCCTTAGAAAACACAAATTTACTCAAAATATCTCTTCCTTGAGCTTTAGTCAAAGCCACCCATGATTAGTTACAATAGACTGGAGCTGACATTTGGCACAGCGTGCAGCTTTTGTAACTTTTAGTCAGCAACCTCCTATTAATCTTCAGTATAAGGATTTAACCCCCCATTGCAAGAAACGGATTAAACTTGAGTTTTGCTGTACTCTTTTCTGCTTATTAAAATACCAACATTATGTAGGACACTCGAGTCAGTAACTGTTATTTTAAGACTTACTTTTTTTAGTATCTGAGAAAAGGTATTTTTGCCAATGTCCTTTCACAATAATTACGCAGTAAATGATAAAAATCAGAATACCACACTGTAAAGGAAGAGCAGCAGGAAAGGCTGGCTACCTTTGAGAGAAGCCTTGCAACTGTGAAACAGCAGTTATTTGAAACATCACCACCTTTCTTTTCACCAAGGAAGCGGAAATAAAACATTTTGCATCTGTTTCTATACAAAAATGTAATTTTCTGTGTGAAAAGACTGTTCCTGTGGTGCATTAATTACACATGTTGAAGAAATACCAAGAATTCTCCCATAACATCTCCTGAAATTCAAAGCACTTTATGAAATGGAATAAAAACCATCAAGCCTAAGAAACGTCACTTCCTGCAATACTAAGTTTCAAGTTTCTAAATCAAATCCAGTTTGCTTGGATGCTTAACTATTGCTGTCTGCAGTCCCACACGTCCATTCCTCCTTCCTCCCCTACAGAATCAGTAATGCAACTTTTCAGCCTCCCCTTCCACTTATTCAGTGCCTCCCAAATCTTAAACACACCCTGCAGGACCTACAGCAGCTGCAGCTAAGGGAGGGAACCAGGAGCTGCTTCAGAAATTCTGAAGTTTTTCTGCAGCCTTGGAAAGAATTATAATGAAACTACAATCAGAGCCTTGTTTTTGGTTTCCATATGACTTGTCCTTGTGATTCCTCTCTTCACCAAAATGTCCATAAAGCACCAGAATATACATAGAATTGAGCCTAACAAAATAATTGGCAAATGATCTATTTGGGGGCTTTTCCTACTTTCCTCTGAATTGTGTTCTCTAAAGTAATTAGTGGGAAACCTAGTGAAGAAACCTAAAACAAAAAGGCAGGGCTTTGAGAACACTGCAACTGAACAAAAAGAAAAAAAAAAAAAACCAACAAAACACACCAGCTGCAAAACAACAACAAGAAAGCACATTAAAAAAAAAAAATCACATGAAAATATCTGATTAATGGTAGGAAATAAAGTAATTTAAATTAGTAGATGCAAAAGACGGCTTCCACTTCCATGCCTACAACCTTTCTATTTGTAAGAACAATTTCTACAAATCAATAAATGATAGAGGTCACAGCTAAATCACTGCCTTTGACTGTGATAATTTCATGGATGAACTGCAGCTCACAGCTCCTGATATTCTGGCATCTTAGCACAGAAGCTCAATTGTCACCTCCTGAAAGCATAACATCCATCCTTTGTAACTCATTTACATCTCTTCTCTGTGTATCAGTGACCTAATCACCACCTCCTATTATGTAAAAACTGCAGACAATGTAGCAAAAGAAGCTCTGATCAATATTTCAACCCCACATTTCTTAAATGGTTTGTAAGGAGAAAAGTATACTATTAAGATGAGGAAGAAACAAAATTACAGAGCAGTGATGGTTGACAAGATACACTAAGTGGAGAAGAAAACCTGCTTTCTATAAGGAAGTCATTAGCAGGACAATTTTGCTAACATTTCACACTGTCCTGAAAACAAAAGATGCTGAGTTTACATACAAAATTAATGCTTTTTAAAAGCATTCAGATAGAGGTATACGTTTTTCCTGTAACAACGCACTAATTTATGATACAAGCTCTGTTTACAAAGCAGGTATAACAACAGAGAACTACATGCTAGGATTTCTCCCAGAGGAAAAGAAAATTAAGTTGACAGAGTAAACTTCATTGTTGGTTCATTCAACCACACAACATAAGTGCTGCTGGTAATTTATGGCCTGTTAGCTACTCAGAGGCAACTTCTCAGTTGCATGCTCTAACCCCTTGTAAAGCCAGTAGCTTATTTCTCAGTGAGCATACAGTAAGATATTTCAAATCTTCCAATGTGAAGCTTTTAGTGTAAAAGTTACTCTTAAGTAACTAGCGCACTGCAAATTCAAACTCCAGTTAGGGGAGCTTTTGTTTGTGCAGCTGTACCCTAAGCATCAGAAGCAGCAGAAATCACCGTTTAGCTATTTAAAGAACATTCATTTCCTCAAAGTTTCTCAGCGCTTAACAGTTTTGCTTGAAGATGACATACCTAATTCTTATGCATAAGCCGTTTGAGACTGTTAAGGAGCATATTATGAATATTCATAAGTTGAAACTAATTTAGTAACAAAACCATGTAATTTGAAAAATACAAATCTTCTTTAAGACGACCACTTAACATCGTATTTTAATCAAAAACACGTTACTTGGTTTAGTTGTGCTAATTTACCATAGAAGGTTATATGTTGTTTACTTACGATTTACATTAAATATATGAGTATTTAACCATTCAGAAGCAACAACCTGACACAGAATGAAATCAGGAAAACAGATACCAAAAGATTCATACTTTCTTGGATTTCACTGCATCATTTAGATACACAACTGTATATACTTTTCAGTGGAATTCACTCCATCTCAGTCCTAATGTTTCCTATCATATTAGACATTTACAAAATGTCTGCTCAATAGCTTTTCGTGTTAGTGTATGCCTTCTGCTATTTACCATTGTCCTACCTAAACACCTAAAAATATTGGGTTTGCAAACCAATGCATGAATAGAAAACATGTTAGTTAATACATATGAAAAAAAATCCAGATTCCCACTTAGTCAAACAAGGAAAAAAAAAAAAACCCACACCCTGAAGGATAACTGACTGACTTCTCTTATTGTATGCCCTGGTAATTAAGCTTTTAGTGTGTTCTTTTCTTCCCTCATTCCTTCATACAATTTTTTGTCTTAAAAAGTCAGACACTGCTATGTGCTCTGACAAGTTTTGTGAGTAAACTATGTTTACAATAAGAAGTTGGTTTAGGTCTCTTGCTTACAGTCCCTTAAATTTGTACGTTTTGTTTGTTTAGTTAAAGTAAAAAAAACCTGTCATTCTTTGTGTTAATTTGCAAAAATCACCAATTAGCAATATTCATCTGATATCAGGACCTAACTAGTATTTTTCTGTATTTTAGAAAACAGTCTATATTGTAGATACCTAGCACTTTTCTTAAGACTAAACAAGCGTTAACATCCACAGGTAAGTTACTTTCATTCATTTCTCAGTTGGAATCAGAAATTGCCTGAACATAACTCATGCTATGTTTTAAGAAATGAACCCTCATGTTTTAAGCAATAAAACATGTTATACTGGTAGAATTTTTTTCTTGGAGCCACATTTCATATATACCCAAGTCAGTTTACTCTCTTGAAGCACAAAAAAAGCTATTAAAAGTTTCTTATTGTGGCTATGCAAGATACAGATAATAGAAGGAAAAAACCTCAAAAACTCTTAACTATTTCATTGCACATTCACTATCCCAACTGGTTTCTATGTAGAGATCCATACAGTCTGTAATATTTTGACCTTTAAAAAAACATTAGGAGCAACAGATAGAATTGACAATTTGATGCCATCTTGTGGCTTTTTTAATTTAGCAAATTTAATTTCTATCTTGTTTCTTTATAACATTTAAATTAGTGCCAAATCTTTACCCAAAAATCTAAAAATTATTAGGTAACTTGCATGCCCTTCCACAGAAGTAGTCCAAGTATAAAGTAACATTTGATTCTGCAAGAAGTATTAGCAACGGCTGGCATATAAAACATAAAGCAGCTTTCAGCTTCACCATCC